AATGACATTCTGCACATTGTACCAAATGTGTCCTAACACGCCGTATCAGTACGCATTTCAAAAGACTCATCCTATTATCAAAGGTACAATAGGGCCTACTGACCTTCAGTTCACCGACATAGTGATAAGATACAGGGGATTAAATATTGTGTGAATTATTAGCTATTACAAATGCGGTACTAAATGCCGCGTGGCTTTTTAATTCGCACTTCTGTTTTAAGAATAAAATAAGACAAATATGAATCCAGAGGTAGAAAAGTTTTGGCGGATGCCGCATTTTTTGTTTAAGCTTAGCGTCTCCCAACCAATTTTAACATCTCTTCACAAAAACTCAGCATTATGAAGGCATACAGGCAGATTAATGGAAAAAAAAAAAAACAGTAAGGTCATAACCTTCAAAAACCTCCTAAAAATCAAATGAATAAATAAATAAACAAATAAAAATTAATTAATAAATATTAATAGCCTGTTCTCACCATGCATCTTGCTCCTTAATACTCCGTCGTGGTATGTCCAGAGCTGGTTGTCTCCCCCGTTCTGCGGCCACAGGCAGATGGTGGCCCCGCTATGGCGGGCACAGTCCCGGATGTCTATCACCATCCCCGTCTGTCTGTGACGTATGTAGTAATATGTCTCAGGGGGAGGGTATTGGCCAGGATATTGGCCAGGATAGCCTGGGTAGCCGTGATGTCCGCGATTTGGCCACTGTAACAGAAAAAAAATCGTTTCTACTGCTGAAGGGAATCTCTCGCTCTATTTAAAAGATACATACAGTGTGCATATAAAAACAACCTCTCTCTCTCTCTCTCTCTCTCTCTCTCTCAAACACATAAATAAATAATGTAAATTCAATGGATGAAATAAATATTCAAATAGCAAATAATGAAGTTTCCATGTTTTATTTGCTGTCAATATTAGATAGATAGAGCTCCCCTTCCAGTTTCTCTTTCAAATAATGAAGTTTCCATGTTTTATTTGTTGTCAATATTAGATAGATAGAGCTCCCCTTCCAGTTTCTCTTTCCATTTTAAACTTTCATGTCCTTATCAATTATAACGTTGGTAGGGGGAGGGAGGGGGGATGGCGCCTCTGAATCTCATGAAGGGGGGGGGGGGCATGATCCATTGCCCCCCCCCCCCCCCCCTTTTT